ACCTCAGCCTCCCAAAGGCGCGGGATTACAGGCTGAGCCACCGAGCCCGGCTAAATATGTACTTTTGAGGAGAAACTTGGAGACTATAAGTCTCCTGTTTCTCCTTAAACTTTCACTGTTAGTGTCCTCTGGTGACTGTCACTTGCAGCAGTTGTCACTATAGTATTCCAATGGTGAATTTCTATTTCCCTCATTCTTTCTACATTTTAGAATTCTTTGTAAGATCTGTCTCTCTTGCCCTATTTATGTATTTATTCAACTATTTTGTTCTATCAATATGAACTCAAGAATATTATTTCATACTTGGCCTTATAATTCAATACTATTGTGGTTTATTTTGCCATTCACATTGTTCCAACTTTGGCCATAGAAAGCCTTTTCAGGCTATCTCCTGTCTTTTGACATGACCTGTCCCTTTTATTATTATTGCTATCATTATTGTTATTTGAGTACCGCCTTACTTTCCGGCACCATGAGATGCTCCAAACTTGCCTTATGTTTTCTCTGCCTCCACCCTAGAATTAGCCACTTCTTCAAGGAGCCCTGTTTCCTTGATTAGAAAATGGTATTTAGAAACCAAGTGCTGAGCAATAGATGTACTCATTGCTATGGGAGTGTCAGGGCTCTAGGCCCTTCAAGAGGTCAAGGCTAGGAAAAATATGTGCGTATGGTCTAACCCTGCACACACACATCTTTATTTATTTCTACATCTTTCTAAAAATGTTTTTTAAGTAAACATTTTATAAGACTTTAACTTTCTGTCTGGGCGCAGTACCTCACACCTATAATCCCAGCACTTTGGGAGGCCGAGGTGAGAGGATTGCCTGAGCCCATGGGTTCAAGACCAGCCTGAGCAACTTGGCGAGACTTCATCTCTACTATAAAGAAAAAAATTAGCCGGGTGTGATGGCACATGCCTGTAGTTCCAGCTACAGCTACTTGGAAGGCTGAGGGGGAAGGATCGCCCGAGCCCAGTAGTTTGAGACTGTGGAGGCCATGAACGTGCCACTGCACTCCAGCCTGGGCGACAGAGTGAGATTCCAACTCAAAAAAAAAAAAAAACCCTTAAAATAATATGTATAACCCTTACCTTTCAGGCTAGAGGATTTTTGACTGATGTGTATGAGGGTGGGCAGGCAGAGTAGCTGGTGGTGACTTAGAGATGGCACCTGGGCAGGGCAGGTGGCTGGGGGGAGGGGAGGAGAGGGCCTAGCCACCACTGTGAGTCAGGGAGGGAGGATTCTCATCCTGATGGACTTCCTGAAGGGGACATGGTCATGACTGGAATGGCCAGTGGTGTCCTGGTAGATGGGAGGATTCAGAGGGCTGGGGCCACAGGGGCAAGGGACCTCAAAGGAGCCAAGTGGTGGGTGAGAGAATTTGTGTGTGAGGCTTTGCAAAAACCCCTCTGTGTTTCTCCCCAGGCTGGCGTGACTGCAGGGAAGGTCCCAGAGTTGGGGGCCTTGGGCACAGCTGAGAAGAAGGTGAAGTTGCTGGAACAGCAGCGCACAGAGGTAGGGGCTGGGGTGGCGGCAAGCCTTTCTCTCCTCCGAGGCCTGCCGTGGCCTCTTGCCTCTGCTAGTATTAGATCTCCTTGGGGAGTTGCCATGGTAACCCCTGAACCACCTGCCCATGGTAGGGTCTGCCTCCCTGCCCCAAGCTGTCCTCTTTTAATCAGCCCTTCTGCCAGTAGGAGTCATTCTGAGGAGGTGGCTTTTGGGGCACAGCCTAAAATTGTTGGGGTTCAGCTAGGTGTGGTGGCTTATACTTGTAATCCCAGCACTTTGGGAGGCTGAGGTGGCCAGGAGTTTAAGACCAACTGCTTGGGAAATGTAGCAAGACCTCCCATTGCTACAAAAAAAATAAGTTAAAAAATTAATTGGGCATGGTGGCACACCTGGAGTCCAGCTACTCGGGAGGCTAAGACAAGAGGACCTCTTGATCCCAGGAGTTTAAGGCTTCAGTGTGCTCTGACCCAGGTAACAGAGCAAGACCTGGTCTCAAAAAAAAGAATCTTAAAAAATTGTTGCCGGGTGCGGTGGCTCACGCCTGTAATCCCAGCACTTTAGGATGCAGAGGCGAAAGGATTGCCTGAGCTCAGGGGTTCAAGACTAGCCTGAGCAACATGGTGAGACCTCCTCTCTACAAAAAATCAAAAAATCAGCCAGGCATGGTGGCACATGCCTGTGGTTCCAGCTACTTGGAAGACTGAGGCAGAAGGATTGCCTGAGCCCAGCAGGTCAAGGCTGCGGTGGCTGTGAGCGTGCCACTACACTCCAGCCTGGGCTGAACAGAGTAAGACTCTGACTCAAAAAAAAAAAAAATCACTGGAGGTGGCAGAGGGTGTTTAGGAAGGCTCCCATGGTAAACCCTGAATGGTGGGAAAGGTGTGATAAGTTAGGCAAGTCTCCACACAGCTGGTTCAGGGAGGGGCTGGCAGGAAGGACAGGATCCAAGACCCTGGCAGCCCTGCTTCCAGCCAGCCTGGGCCCAGAAGCTTAGGCTGTTCCCTCGTAGCTCATGTGTACTTCTCCGCCACCTCGCACCTCAGTCCAGTTCAGTCTGTGCAGACCCGAGATCGAAGCCCAGCTCTTCCTTGATGGGATTTGCTGTCAGGCTCCTCTCCACACAGCCCGGGCCTTCTCCAGCACCCGAGCCTTCCTGCTTCCCAGGTCCTCCAGCACATTTGAAAGTTTATTTATGTGCGCAATGAGTTTAGATTTCTTTTTGTATTATTATAAGGCATCTTCCCCCTGATTTCAAAAGTAATGTAATGTACATTATAAAAAGATCAAGAACCAGGTTCGGTGGCTCAGCCTGTAATCCCGCGCCTTTGGGAGGCTGAGGTGAGTGGATTGCCTGAGCCTGCGGGTTCGAGACCCGCCTGGGCAGACGAGACCTCATCTCTACAATAAATCAAAAACTCAGCCGGGCATGGTAGCGCATGCCTGTAGTTCCGGCTACTTGGAAGGCTGAGGCGGAAGGATCGCTGGAACCCAGCAGGTCAAGGCTGCGGTGGCCGGGAGCCACCACTGCACTCCAGTCTGGGCGACAGAGTGAGACTCCAACTCAAAAGATCAAGAGTCTCACCTCCTAGAGATGACCATGCTGCTGACAATTCATTGCATAGTCCTCGGGTTTTCTCAGTACAGAAAAATAAAATGATGTACGTAGTGTTTTACAGGAGCCTGACAGAGCAAATCCTACCAAGGAAGAGCTGGGCTTCGATCTCGGGTCTGCACAGACTGAACTTTTCTTTTTTTTAAAAATTAATTGTCTCTGGGGTATCTTTCCATATGTATAATATATAGCCATATTCTCTCAGTTTTTTTTTTTTGAGCCACTGAACCTGGCTATTCTCTCAATTTTTGGTAATTATTTTCATATACAATGTTTTTAAAATTCATATGAGACCCCTATGACCCATCTTAAGGGTAACAGTGAACACTCCCATAACAAAAGACGGGTGAACAAGAGCAAAGACGGCAGATTCATGTAATCAAACTTTACATGACATGGAACCAGCCTGGGCAACATAGATATGATGTGACATATAAAATGAAGATACAAGGGAAACTCCATGTTTATGCTTGGATTCAAGAAAGGTGGACAACTGTGTAGAAATGTGACTGGACACTGGAGTATGTAATAGTAGCAGAGTGGAGAACCCAGCAGGCCCTGCATGTTTAGATTCCTCCTGGCCTCTTTGGGGGGCTTTCTTTCTTCCTGGGTTTAGCACAGGACCCCTTCTAGGATGAGGGTCTTATGACTATCACACAAGGTAGACCAGAGAGATTCTTTTTGTCCAGCACTTAGACATATGGGCAGAGCAGGATAGAGTAATAGTTTTAGGTTTTGTGACTGGCTTTGAGGGAGAGATTCTGGTTTCTGTGACCCACCTTGGAGAAGAGGAATTCTAGTCTGTGGCTTTTCTTGGAGGAAAATGAGGGACCAGAGAGAGGGCAGGAGAAGGCCAGAGAGAGAGTTTGCTTCTGAGGTCTTCACTTTGGGGCATAATTTTTGAGCCCCAGCATTGGGATACTGTTTCCTGCTATTTATTTAATGATGCAAAGTCATCTTTTTTCCCTGAGGCATTATTACATCAAGAGCATGGCAAATAGTGTCATCTTAGAACTGAGGAAATGAGGAAGATGCCTTATCTTCTTCACAGCTACACATTATATGTCTATCTAATCTGCCTCTTGTGCTTAGGTTGGCCTCCGAACTTTTTAATAATACAGTCATTGCTGAGATGATCAGCCGTGTGTGTGTGTGTGTGTGTGTGTGTGTGTGTGTGTATGCGTGTGTATGCACGCGCGCATGCATTTCTACACTCATTTAAGTGTTTCTATTGAGCCGGGCGCAGTGGCTCACGCCTATAATCTCAGCACTTTGGGAGGCAGAGACGAGAGGATCACCTGAGCCCAGGGATTTGCGACCAGCCTGGGCAACTTGGTGAGACCTCGTCTCTACAATAAATCAAAAATTAGCCGGGCATGATGGCATGCACCTGTAGTTTCAGCTACTTAAAAGACTAAGGTGGAAGGATCACCTGAGCCCAGTGGGCCGAGGTTGTGTTGGCCATGAACGTGCCACTGCACTCCAACCTGGGCAACAGAGGTAGACTCCAACTCAAAAAAAAAAAAGATAACAAGTATTTCTATTGGTTAAATTTCTCAGAGAGGAATGATTGGGTTAAACATGATGAAAACGTAACATTTTGATACATGGTCCAAAATCCTCTGTAAAGAGGTGTGTGTTTACCACATGATTGAATGTTTCTGTGTCTTGGTTCCTGGTGAGGGTAAAAGGTGGCAGTTGGGAAAGGTGATGCCGTTGAGGAACGTTGAGATTCTGGGAGAGGAGGGTGGAGGCAGCATCTGGAGCCACTGCTGCATACACCGCATGCATTTGGGGTTGCTGGGTGCGTGGGGTGGGTGTGGGCACGGGCCCTCCAGGTCCTTCTCTGCTTCTCTCCCACTGACCCCAGTCTCTTCTGCAGCTGTTGGAAGTGAACAAACAGTGGGACCAGCACTTCCGGTCCATGAAGCAGCAGTATGAGCAGAAGGTAACGGGTTCCTGGCCTGACTTGGGACATGCTCCGTGTCCCTCTCACTGCCTCTTTCATGGCCACTCTAAACCTGGAAGAAGCCATGCGGAGTCGGCACGAGCCTAGAGGAGGAGCTGGGGTGGCAGTGATGGAGGGCTGGGGGGGCCGCCCTGCATCCCACCTCACTTCCCTCTCTGCCTCTGACCAGATTACTGAGCTGCGCCAGAAGCTGGCAGACCTGCAGAAGCAGGTGACTGACCTGGAGGCAGAGCGCGAGCAGAAGCAGCGTGACTTTGACCGCAAGCTCCTCCTGGCCAAGTCTAAGATTGAGATGGAGGAGGCAAGTGTGACTGCTGGTTACCCCCATTAGGTGGTGGAGAGTTCAGAGGAGTAAAGCTCGGGGTGGGAGTCAGGAGACCTGGGGTTCTAGCTCTAGGCCAAAGAGCTCTGTGACTGACACCACAGCACGTTCCTTTCCTAAGCCTCTGTTTCCTACCTGAAAATTGACAAGGTCGGATTAACTACTGCTTTACAACTTTTCAAAGTTCTTGTTTTCACTCAGAAGAACTTTTTGTCCATTAAAATCTTAGGGGCTGGGTGCGGTGGCTTACACCAATAAGCTCAATGCTTTGGGAGCCGGGCACAGTGGCTCACGCCTGTAATCCCAGCACGTTGGGAGTCCAAGGCAACAGAATTGCCTGAGCCAGGGATTTGAGACCAGCCTGGGCAACTTGACGAGATCTTGTCTCTACAACAAATCAAAATATTAGCTGGGCATGGTGACTCACACGTGTCGTTCTAGCTACTTGGCAGGCTGAGGCAGAAGGATCATCTGAACCCAGCAGGTCAAGGCTGCAATGACTGTGAGTGTGCCACTGCACCCTAGTTTGGGCTATGGAGTGAGACTCCTACTAAAAAAATAAACGACTTTGGGAGGCCAAGATGGGAGGATCACTTGAGCCCAGGAGTTTGATGCTAGCCTAGGCAACGTCGCGAGACCCTGTCACTACAAAAATTTGTTTTAGAAAAATCTTAGAGACTGAGGACTCGTTCAAGGAAGCACAAGACTTAAGAGACCCAGGCAGGCCTGCTCTGTGGCCTGTGCTGGGGGAGAGGCTGGTACTCAGTGTTTGGAGTCATGGTGGCCATTCGTGGGGTAGGGGTTACTATGTCACACAGCTTCGGGTATTCATTCATCCAAGCATGTTTCGCCAGAGCACGCCCTGGACACGGTGCTAGGCATAGAGTCAGCGTGAACCGTCCAGCCATGCCCTTACCAGGGAAGAGGTGTCGGACAACTAATCACAGAAGCAATAAGTCCAAGTGTGTTACGTACTGCGAAGAAGAGGCTGCAGGGATCAGAGAGTGGGCATAGGGGGGCCAGATTCAATCTTAGAAAGTGGTATCTGCTCTGTCGTGTGACCGGAACCAGCTGAGTGCCTTGAGGATCCCAGAGCAGCTTCACGAGGAAAGACTGCTTGACTCCCAGACGCGAGATTTTACTTCCATCACCGTGTCTTCCTTCTTACGGGAACAGCGTGGGCTTCTTTTCTTAGTAAAAAATGGACATTTTCACCAGATTGCCTTCAGAGTTCTCCTATCAGCATAAGATACCAGGGGCCTTTTCCAAGCAGTCAGCCTGTGTCTGAGACATCCCCTCTCCTTGTAGGTGTGGTTAGGGAGGCCCCTTCTGTCTTTCTCGTGGGTGCATAGTCACATCTGAGGACTTCCACCCAGACATCCTGGCTCTTTGGTCCCTTCCTCTACTGACATCAATAGGTGAGACAAGTCCCTGGAATCCAACAGCGTTGCCCTGTCGGCTGGGGGAAGACGGAAAGCCTTTCAAGGCCAGGTAGCCCTGTGGATAGTGCCACGATGGTAGAAGCCATGCTTTGTCTGGAGCCTCGTGAGCGGAAAGCCTCGAACAACTCCCATCAGTTCTGGCTATGGCCGTCCTCGGCAGGCTCTGGTTGAGACAGTCATCAGCGGTTTGTGGAGCATTGACTTCAGTTCATAGGGTTGGATGGCAGCTCACTTTGCAGCCTGTCTCCTGATTGCATGACATACCTAGTCATAGTTTTCACACAGTATGGCTACAGTCAGAGTTCCTTGGTGACCCCCACCCAATCCAAATTCTCCCCAGAGGTCACCACAGGTAGCCTTTTCCCACGTAGACACCTAGGGACATGCAGCTCATTTGGGGTGTGTCTGGTCTCTGTTCCGCACAGCACTGCCATCCCTGGGTTTAAGTACTTCCTTGGCTTGGAAAGGGAGAGAGCAATGGAATTAGGAGCCTGGGTTCTAGCCCTAGCTCACCTGTGGCCTGGGGTAAATCACACCCCCCCCCC